ACACACGCCACTAATTCTTTTTCCACAGGTCTAATTATAGCGCATCAGGAAGCAAGCAGTATTGTAAAACCTGTTGATAAACTGCATACCAGATGTTTTCTTACCTGTTCTGTGACTCTCATTACATTTTAAAATAGATGATTTCGTTTTCTAGAACTAACAACATGCAGGAACCTTCTGTGAACACAAGAGGGCGCCATTTAGCTTCACAGAAACAGCTTTCTGTGGCCACGTTTACATCCATGAGATGGCAGTGCGATATCTGCATTATGGCTCTAGATAAGCCATGCAACATATTTTTACATGGTTTGGCATGTGCTACCAGATGCCCTATGGAGAGCGTGTGAAGACGCTTCCATAAAATATTAATTCACACTGACTTAAAAACAGCGCTCATTGTGGTTCTGAGCAGGCTATACTGTGACTAACAGTCAACCTTCAGCCATAATTATGAATGAGGTGTGCTCTGAATGTCAAAGGGAGAAATCAATACGCGTGTGCAAATCCTTACAGAAATCTGTTAATGAAGGTGCAGAGATCGTGCACATTTGGAATTTGGAAAAGTTCCATGAAAAAACACATTTTCCCATCAAATGCAGAGAGCCATAATTTAAAACTGAGCAGGCTCTTATTTGACAGCTTAAAAAGTAGCCTGTCAAATCGTCACCTTATGTTTTGAATCCATATCACTTTGGAGATGAGGAAACTTGTAAAAAAAAAAAAGTAGATAAAAAAGAAAGAAAAAGTTTTAACAAAATATCTTTTATCTCTGGGAACAACAAAGAAAAGCTGCAAATAGAATCACAGACGTATCTGACAGGCACAGCATCACCTTTGACATGAAAGCTATCGTGCTAATACAAACACTCCCAATCGTATTAAATCAGGATCAGAGAACAGACACGATCCCTGAAAGCACTTTAAAAACAAACTCTGAGAAAAGATGAAGAAACTCCGGACTTAATAGGACTGAGATGAAGACAAAGGCGGACGAAGAAAAGAGCAGGAGTCATTTCCAGGGTAAAAAAATTAGATCTGCAGGGCAATGAATAAAATGTTTTCTCGCAAGGTTTCTGCACCGAGTCCGAGAAGAGACTTCTTGTGCGCTGACAATATTACGACCGTCTTCAATGAGTACGCTGTTTCAGTAAAAGTGGGGGAAAGTGCACTCTGATTTCTGTCATGTGAATTCCCTGTGATCTGACTCGTCGTAGCACGAGCGATCCACAGCATGTGGAGGTCTAGTTCTCTCCTCTGTCTGCAAACATGGGTAACAAGCTCGGGGAGAGTTGGTACATTTCTTGGACGGTGGTCATTAAGAAAAATTCACACTTGGTGTTTATTCCAAATTTGACTCATTTCACTGAGGGATTAAAACAGAGTGTCACTTCTTTTCAAGCAGCATCGAGTATTAAAGTATTTATTCAAGACTCTAAAACAGTGAAAAAGCCCAGTAGGATACAGGTCATTTATCCCCTTATTTTATCTTACTTACGTAAAATACATAAAATTAACACTCTGTATTTAATCAGTATTATTCATGGCTCTCTTCCACGGCGTGCATTTGTCCTGCCTTCCTCTTTCGCCACCAACCGGTTGCAGCAGATGGCCCCGCCCCTCCCCGAGCCTGGTTCTTCGGGAGGTTTCTTCCTGTTAAAAGCGAGTTTTTCCTTCCCACTGTTGCCAAAGTGCTTGCTCACAGGGAGTCATCTGATTGTTGAGGTTTTCTCTGTACTATTGCAGGGCCTCGAGCTGCTGCTGCTGTGATTTGGTGCTATATAAATAAAACACCTGTAAGAATTTCTTTTTCAGACCTGTGGAAAACCTTGAAACTGTGATGAACTAAGATAAACTATCAGTACTGTAAACTGTTAATGAGGTTATAAGCTTAACACGCTGTAGGATCGCGCGTGCGCTGCTTTGAACAGTCGTCCTTTAATTGGTCGCTTCTTGAGTTAAAAGGTCAACATCTGCCAATCAAGTGCATTAAGTAATAAAACAGCACTGAGCAGCACGGATTAGTCTGTTTGATAACAACTGCGTCTGGTTAAGAGTCGCCGGGCAGCCCGCTTTTAAACACATGTGACCTTTCAAATGTACCTCACGTAGAGACGACACTTTAGCAGCGTAGTGGGACTTTAGTATTACTGCTCCTCACCTACGTCACAGGTAAGGCAGGTATTGATTTTTCACGGAAAGCTCGCCTTGATGTGCGAACAGAGGGGGGCGCAAACCCGCCCCACCACCACACGGCTCTGAGGTCACTCTGAATGCTTCATTCATCTACTGACACATCACTTATAGCTTCCAGCAGCATCCAAAAAGACCAGAGAAGCAAAGAGGCAGATACGGTCAGACAGGAGATAATGAATCCTTCCAGTCTACAAGCTGACACGTTCGATTGCCAGATAGAGGGAGAATTTAAAGCTCCGCCCTGGTGTCCGCCGCCTTACCACAACATAGCGTTCTGAACCCCCGTCCACCCCCCCACCTCGCTCTCTGTATAAATCTAATTCCCTGCTCTGAAAAGAGGCCACTGCAGTCATTCCCCCTGTGATTAACCTAATCCGTTGGCAGAGTGGTTGTCCTCTCAGTGACACCACCATTACGTATTTGACGTAGACTGCATTCACGCCGCGATAACCAGCGAGCGTACTCTGAAAACGTGTGAATTTGAAGCAGCACGGGGCACAAATGTCACTGAAAGGAGCTCAGAGACCTACAGCGTAGCAAAGCTTCACTATAAAGCACTGCGAGCTGTTTTTGAGCTTTCAGCTACACTCTCTGGCCACTTTATTAGGTATATCTGTTAAGCTGCTCGTTAACACGAATATCTGATTTTCCATCAGACGGAAATTTCAAGCGGAGCGTGATCTGCTGGGATTTTCCCACGCAACCATCTCTTCAGAAAAGGAGAACCTATCCCAGTTTCAGGGAGAACAAACATCACTGATGCCAGAGTTCAGAGGAGAACGGACAGACTGCTTTGAGCTGACGGGAAGGCAACAGTAGCTCAAGACCACCCCGGGTGCCGCTCCTGTCAGCGAAGAACAGGAAACAGACTACAGTTCACATAGTCACCAAACTTGGACATTACAAGATTGGAAAACGTCGTCTGGTCTGATGAGTCTCGATCTCTGCCGTGACATTTGGATGGTCGGGTCAGAATTTGATGTAAACAGCAATGGTTCAGGCTGTTGCCGGTGATGTAATAGCGTGGGGGGTAGATTTTTGGCACACCGTCTGCCATTTTTACCCAATGAGCATTATTTTGATCATACCTAAGGATTGTTCATCCCTTTGTGAACACAGTGCTCCCGTCTTCTAACGGCTGCTCCCAGCAGGATAACACTGCAGGTATGAAAGCTCAAATCATTTCAAACTGGTTTTCTGAACATGAAGGTGAGCTCACCACATTCACTGGCGTGTTCCCAATCACCAGACCTCCATCAGAGCACCCTTTGGCCATCTCCCTTTCGCTGATGAGGAACCTTTGTGGTCCAAAGTAATTACCCCCAAAAACATGTTAACTTTTATCAACACTATCAATCCCAAGTTACGCTTTTTCACTCTGTAAAGCAGGAGTGTCCAAGTCCAGGCCTCGAGGGCCGGAGTCCTGCAGGTTTTAGATGTGTCCTTGATCCAACACAGCTGATTTAAATGCTAATTGACCTCCTTAACATGTCTTGAAGTTCTCCAGAGGCCTGGTAATGAACTAATCATGTGATTCAGGTGTGTTGACCCAGGGTGAGATCTAAAACCTGCAGGACACCGGCCCTCGAGGCCTGGAGTTGGACACTCCTGCTGTAAAGTAACATTTAGTAACAAAGTAACATTGTAACTATTGTTTGTGAGGTGAACTGCTTCACCTGGTTTTTTCTCTTCTCCTCTGTACGCAGGTCGCTTGTGGAAACGTAACTTTGTTTACTACTTCTGCATGATTTCATTACTTTAATGAGAAATCGATCGTTTCTTCCTAGAAACTTGCTCAACGGTGGCGAGTGTGTTTTCATGCGATATTTCATGCTTTGTTGTGTCGATATCTGACGGTCGTGTTACCTCGGGGACGATGATATCACATCACGCATGTGACAGGCAGCCGTGCTTATCACAATAAAATACGATTCACAGACACAAAGGAGTTCACCTCCCTCAGTGCTCACACTTAATTATTCAGAAAGCTGCAAAGGAAACCTTCACATACATCGCAGCTATTTCTCAAACACACGAAACGTATAAATTACAGCCTAATTGTAGTAGACTTTTTTTCTTGGAAGTCTCGTGTTTGAGAAGCTTCTCTGTGTGTGAGAATATTTAAAGCTAAGGACGTGGTGGTTTTGTGTTTGGGATTAGAGAGCTTGAACTTCAGTAACAAACCCCACACATGTCACTTCTTCTATCGTTTGCTTTTTGCTTTTCATGCAGTCCATCTCCAGCTGTCTACGGGCGACCGAATCCGTAGGAGTGATGATCCACAGAGTGGTTCAAAACAATGATTCACTTCAGGTTCACGGATCAAGGAGAATAAATGAGGTAATGTTCGCTAAATCTCTCGAACAGGAGCTCTGCACACACTTCACCTGCACAGAACATGCGTAAGAGCTTCGCTTTAGACTTGCACATAAGCTACGTTGCCATCAGAATAGTAACATTTCAGTTATTTGGCGGTTTTGGGCTAACTAACCCTGCTGTAGGCGAAAATGACCGCACTTAAGTTACTGCTGGATAAGAATTGCAAAATTAGTTTGGATGGCGGTGAAAATCCCCAGAGAGAAACCGCTCGTCTTGCTCATCGCATTTCAACGAGACAACCTGCACAAGCAGAACCTCATTAAGTGTTGGGTTTGGGCTAGTTTACGGTATATTCAGAGCAGCAGATCGCTCTTTAAATGTGCCGTTTAGCTCCCTGTTAAGGACTGCAAAGACTCTACGGAGGATAAACACAGAGGATTTTAAAAAAAGCATAATTTTTATATCGCGGCTCTCCCTCTGTGTTCACAGCATTTCCAGCAGTGATCTACACACAGTGCACTGCTGAGGTATGACTACAGAGTACCAAGTCTAATGAGAAGGCCACGCTGTGTCCGAGCAATTTTCAACTCCAGTATGTTTTGAAGGGAACTGCTTCTCACTTTTAGATCAGCATACATACATTTACAATAATTCGTTATGTCCATACTGTTTGTGCTGCGAGTGCCAACACTTGGGGAAGGTTAGGGAAAGAATGCAGGCAAGATGTTAGCATTTCTGTAAAAGTGCAATCTGCTAAACGCGCCCCGACCATCCTCCTGCAGTGCTGATTCAGTTAATTCAAAAGTGTTGGTGCACTGTGATCATTGTGCAACTGAGAATCCCGTTTATATTACGTAAGCGTGTAATATTTAAGAAACAGGGTTGCAACAATAAAACGGGGCAGTAACAAAGATGGATCTCCAGTTTATCTTTACGCACCGAATCCAGGAGTGACCACAGAAACAGACGGGGCTCGTGGAAACTTCCAGATCAGACCATGCTGTCGTCATCATCTTGGTTACCCTTGTGATAAATAGATTTGTTTATTGTTCTCTGCAAGTCTCTACTCAATATCCTACTAGATATGACTCATGCTCAAGTCTGGTATTATTGAACCAATCTCCTTAAGGAGGAGCATGCACACACACATACACACACATAGATGCACGCATCCCGGACTTTAAGAGGATACTTTCAGAAGATGAAAAACTCTGCATCGATCACTTGATAACAGTTCTTGGTTTTAATAATCGTGCCGGCCACATATAATCGCCACTGATGCTCTTTTAGAGCTGCTGCCTGCACCAGGTTTAAAACAAGGAGAAACAAAAGGAGGCTCGAGCCAATTAGAAGGCAAGAAATCCTCATTCTGTCATCAAGGAAAGGGCAGATATCAGCAAGTCTTCTTTAAACCACAGCTGATGAAAATCTAAACACTTACAGTATAATCCTGCAGTTACTGGCAATCAAAGCATCCAGAGCCACGTTTCACATCTCTGGTCGTCTCCAACCTCGGGTCTGCTGGACCACGCTCAGGTCACATTTCATGAATGAGCTTTGATCCTAAAGGTACATATGTGCATGGGATATCACACCAGCTGCTGCTACCAGTTATCAAATTATTGTTATCATTTTATATTTAAGCAAATGATTTTGAATTAATTTTGGGGACAAACCTGGAAGCTGAGCCAGCTGCCTGTTTTATCTACAACTCCAACCGGGGTTTAGGTCTAATCTGGAACAATAAAATACACAAGAGCGCACACTTAATATCAGCACACGTCAGCCTGCTGTGAGACATTTCTTATCTGTGTCTGTGCAACAGCAGGAATGCATCATCAAATGTTAAAAAGCCCTAACAGCTTAGGCCTTCACCTACAAAACCCAAGCTTATCCCGGCCTGAGGTAAATAATGTGCAACATCAGCTGACGTCTTTTTTGATCAAATAAGACATTGGCAGCAGAGTAATCAAATCCTTTGGCAATACCACGCAAAAAGAATCACACTCACTGGTTTCCTTCTCATATGGCAGTCGCTTCTTTCTCACATACGTGCTGACCGAACCCACACGGGGTCTGATTACGCGCAACAATGCATGAACTGCAAGGACCACAGTGACGACTCCAGCACACAAACTGGAATCAACATGTTTGAAAAAGCAGCCCCGCCGGCCGATCTTTAGCTTGACACTCGAGACCGCGTGTATCAAATTGCGTTCGGCGAGCACAAACACCCGCAGCTGAATACAAAATCTGTTTTTTGCACCGGTGCCCACTTTGTCAGGCCATTCAAAGTGCCTCTATGAAGCAGCATGTGAAACTGCATGGCAACAAGAGGGTTCAAAAGCACTTGACTCGTGGCTCCGTGTGGTCGGCCATTGTTTGCTTTGAAATACCTGCTGCTTTTTTTGCCGAATACGCTTCTCTCTGGAAAATTATTCTGTGAAAAAATATCTATGAACAGAGCGGCCAGAGCTGTTTTGTTGCTGGATATACTAATGAATCGAAAAGGCATTTAAATGAAAACTGACAGTGGTTTCAAAGAGTGATTAAAGCCCAGAGACAGATGTCTGTAATTTGGGTAATCTCGTCAGTCTCCCCACCATCATTATCAAGCCAAACAAAGGCACTTTAAACTGTCATCTCTCAGTCAGCTGCTTCAACTGCATTTTGAGCACAACACATAAATCCCATAAACGAATCGTGCAAAACTAGGGCGACATAATGTCCCTCTCTTTTGTCTCCCTGTCCCACATCTTGAGACAATTTCCCATCTTCTGACTGTGTCTGCAGGGCACGAACCTTTCTGGCTTTTACCCTGACACACGTGCAGGTGAAGGGGAGGCTTTTTAAAGATGTATTATATTTAAATGAAGCTTAGCCTGTCCATTTCCACCCATTTTCGCCCATGGGAGAAAATTACAAGCTACCAAAAAGTCACAAACTTTACAGAGTTTGGTGATTATGATGGAAACTACCACAAAGAGAATAAAGCAACAGCAAATACTTTATCTCCGCTAGAATTGCTCTTCAGTTTTTCAGAGAAGGAAATATGGTGCGATGCATCTATGCACGCAGCCCTACAGAGAATATGGGAGTATATGAAGACTATTGCACGGGGCCGTAAGAATCTAAGTAAGACATCTGTGTAGCCTCTGCTCCGGAAGGTGAAGGCCGGTGCTCGTAGAAGCAGGTTAAGATCGAATTATCAAATTGTTTCAGTTTGGCTCAGCAATTCTACTATTTTATTATCTGTTACTTCTGATGCTGACCATCCAAGACGGTCACGGACAAAATGAAGACTGCGTGAACAAGTTCCTGTTGCCGTCAATCACGCTGAGAATCGACGTCCAACTCGCAAATAACATCTTATTTTTTTGGTTTTACAAATCACAAGTGCTAATTTGTAAAGGTTAGATACTGCAGCTTTTACAAACTGCCAACATAAAATCACAGCCAGCAGTTTCTAGCAAATAACTTGAGATAAGCTCAATGGTTCATCTTCCAAACAGAACGCAGCAGAGAGTCGAATTTAACAAATTCAGACATTTTCTTAGAAGTTGCTGGAAATCAAAGATAAAGGGGAGCAGGTATAAGAAGCAAAGTCATCAGGTAATACACACACACACACACACACCTGTTTATTTAGATGTATAAAATGTCTCTTTAGTTGCAATGCATTATTGGTCTCACTTGGTTAGAGGAGCACTGCATGGAACGGACGAGTGCACCTATTAATCCTTTGCTGTTGCAAGTGACATAAAATCATCCAATCCCAAATGAGGAGCCAAATATTCACTCGCCTCCCTGTAGCTGAGCGCTGCACCCCCTGCTTATTGGCAAAAGACTCACAGATGGATATGCACACATGCACAAACATGCATGCACACACTTTATCTGTGAGAAAAGATTCCTCAGCATGGATATTTTGCATCCACAGTTAGAACACAACGTGTCTTCCTTTGAGACCAAAAAGGTTTTATAATATTTCCATGTTTCACTTTCACAAATATATTAAGTATTAAGTATATTTAAAGAATGGATATGTTACTATAATCTGGTGTTATGTAGCTTGATTAGCTATCCTATTTCATGTTTCAGCCACATTTTAGGAGCCGAGGAGGGTTTAGTGTTGGTAGGAGATAAACTGGCAGTGTTGTCATTAGGGATTAGATGGTGGAGGGCTGGGAAAATGATCACTGGCATGAATGAGTAATTGGTTGGACCAACAGCAAAGCATGAGAGAACTGAAAAGAGAAAAGTAGAGACGAGTAAATATTTTATCCCACTCTGTGTCGGCCTGAGTGATGCAACAGAGACACTGATGTACGGAGAAAACTTTGAGGCTCTTGAACGTAACGCTTTGCAAAGCTAATTAGAAGAAATTTGTTACCATAATCTAAACAGCCATTCGATCAATGCACAGCAGTCCAGAGTCAGACAAATGGCTCAATATATTCCAACTGCAGACATTTCTGTTTCTTTACCAAATCAGGTGCATAATCCTAGCTACGGCTGCCTCCGTAGGACAAAAAACTGTGGCCGCCGTTGGTCTGTAGTGAGTGTAAGCTGTCAGTCTGCTGGTGTCCATGTTTATTTGTAACTGATGACAGCCACACTGAGGGGAGTTGTTGAGGATATTTCCTGAACTTTTGTGTCAGCGTGCACTTCCTGGTGTTAGTGAAACTGTCTTTGAAGTGAAGGCAACATTGTTGAACTTGAACGCTTTGTGAATAAACTCTCATATGATGTGAAAATGCAATCAAACTGTTTATCGGAGGGAAAGCGTGATTTTGGGACGCTGAAGCATAGCCGACACAAAGTTAGCTTCTAACTGTTATAACTGCTGCTGTTTAGCCTGCTTGATGACAATAACTACCTGCAACAATATCAGGAATGAAAAAGCATGTTTATGTATGTTTTCATGTGTTAGATGAACCTTGAGATGAGCCTTGATTATTTGAGTCTGAAAGTGCAGACACAAATACAAATTTGCCTTAATGGCATGCAAAGAGCTATGGGTTCTCCTCTCTTCCTTTGTCATACAACGCATGGGCTGATCTCTAACCACATACACAAAACAGCATCGAGCAGAACAGCAAGTCCACTTTGGCCACTGCATTAAAGACGGCGGGTCAGAACTGTGAATTCCACAAACCAGCACTGAGTACTTTAAACCGATTAATTAAGTTTATGGGAAGGCGTCAACTTGTTGGAAGTCCAGTTCTTCTATTCTATTAAAGAACCTCAAAAAACAACTGCCTGTACCTTTAAAAACAACATGACCCTCTAAACTTGGAGGCATTTTATCCCACAGCCTTAAATATTTGTGGCAGATATATCGTTAACTAAGAATGGGGAGAGAAACTCGTATTATTTTTTAGCACTTATATCGTTATTTATACTGCGGTGGAGGCCGGGACTTTGTGTCTTCATTAAGTAGCAGTTTTGGAATATTACTAACTTTTGCACTAAGACGTTTTAATGCATAATTTAGGTCAGGAAATGACTCGTTTTATTTTTACCTTTATAAATGTTGCATTAGGAAAGTGGAAGATATTTAATGGAGGCCCATTTTTGACTGCGCAAATGTAATCGCGGCGTCAGTCAAGTGAGTGCATTTAAATATGAGCAGCTCTTATTAAAGCAAATATTAGATGCTTTCCCTGTTAAGGTATTATTTATGAGACAAGCCTCTCTTCCTAGTACTGCTGTCAGGTCACATGCTGAAAGAATAAAAGAGGAAAAAGATGCTGCTCAGCTTGCTGCCACCACCACCGGCTGCGGCTGCCGGCGCATGTCACGCCCCGGCACCACCCGGCATCGACCTGCGGGCTCTGATTCTTCAAGGCTCCCCGCGGGGGGCCGCATCGATCTCGCTCCTCTCTCAGTTTAGCCGGGTTTAAATTATGCTTCACGGGGAGCGACATGAAACCTTTAGCCTCAGCACCAAAACTAAATCTATACTCTCGTCTCGCTTTTAGTTAACATGCAGCTCTGTGCAACGCATTCAGCGTGTAGCGTATTAGCGAAGTGCACGAACACAGACAAGAGACACAAACTCATTTCACTTATTAGCATCAGCGTGTATATGATGAGGGTGAGACTGCAAACCAAGAAATAGTAACGTTGTTTCAGGAATGAGATCAGATAATACATTAATTGAATAAATCTTTTAGCTTTAAACCAGAATCTCAACGAGGCTGTGACGCATTATATCCTCCACACAATAACCAGAAATAAAGCACTTGTGTGCAAATGCCACAAAGGCCACCACTGACATCACCACACCTCACATTAAGACGTGTAATTTAATTATCAGTTGTGTCCAGGGAGGGTCGGCTCCGTTGAACCGTGCCTGCATGTTTATGTGTGCAGGTCTTTAGAAGCCAAGTGTGTGTGTTTTGTCTTTCATCCCATCTGTGCGCTCTGTGCATGGTTGTGTGTTCTCATAAGGTGTGCGCATATGTCGGTGTGACACACATAGTTACCAGCAAACGTTGCTTCCTGGTTGCCATGGCTGACGGTTTCAGTGAAACCATGCTTCACAGAGCTTCCTGTATCTCATTACCATCTCAGCCTCTCTTCTTTATTATTTTAAGTCATTTTCTTTCCCCTCATCTTAATTTATCCTGTGCTTCGTGTCCTTATTGTGACTTACACTTGATTCTTGTTTCATTTTTAGGGTTCTTGTCAGTACTTTAGCAAATATCTGTATTCTTTTTGCTTTTTAAAAAAAGCATTTTTGCATCTCAGATGTTTGTTTCTTTTCTTGAATTTCCAATATTTTATTCACGTAGTTTTTTTTATTATCGTGGACACTATTATCTGATTTCCTATCATGACACTGTGTATTAGTATCACATGGTGCATCTGTTTCTGTGTGCAGCTTCACTCCAAACCTGTCTGTTTCTGTCTCTGTGATGAGGATGTGTTGGCTTCCACCTTAGCCTATTTTTATTTTTTTCTAAAATTGTCTCCCACAAATAAAAAAACAACTAAACAGGTCACCTGGGAGCTGGTTTTGCTTCTTTATTGTTGGAGGTTTTGTGTGTTGTGTCTGCTGAGGACAAAAACACCATTTGGTGCCACAATGAACTGAGATGACACGGCATAATTGGCACCTGTGTTGGTCAAGTTACTTGAAAAAAGTAATCAGTAACTAATTACTGATTACTTCCCCCAAAAAGTAATCCCGTTACTTTACTGATTACTTATTTTCAAAAGTAATTAATTACTTAGTTACTTTTTAAAAACACGATTTACAACCTGAAGAGGTGATAAAGCGATAGATCTTTCAGCCCAATTCTACTTTTTCTGCATAATCCATCATACAAAATGTAATCAATGGAAAAGTCTCTTTTTAAAACTTGTTTTATTAGTTTTAATCTTTTAACTTTATGCATCAAGCAAAATTTAATTATATGCAACATTCTCTGACTGGAATGAAATTAGTTTAACATTTAAACCTATTTTCTGCACATTCCAGCACATAAAATAAAATATTTTTTGTGTTTACACTCAGTCTTTCAAATAGATGCAAGTAAAACACAGCAGAAAATAAATAAAGTCAAAGACTCAGCGGTCCTGTTGCTCTATTTTCACCTGTAAAGCAGGAGTGGGGTAGGCGGAGGTTTACCCTGGTGCAGGTGTGCCGCGGTCAGTGGAAGAATCCGCGAGTTTCTCTGTGAGTTTCCCATTACGTCGTAGCTACTCGGTGCTTGCTTGGAAGTTTAGGGGTTTTTCGCTGTAAAAAGAAGTTTTCTTCCCACGCACAGCGGACACTAATGTTTTTGTCACTTTTTATGGAATCAAACTCAAAGTAAGGTCAGTACTTCCACGCTTTAAACGCTGCACGCTCATACTCTCTCTGCACTCGATATGTGATCCATTGTTGATCTGCACACAGCTGTTGTCACTAACGGCGCACTCGCTTACGTCACTGTCGTGAGACATTCTCGCAAAAAATCACGGTTTTAGTAACGCAGTAACGCAGCGTTCCTACGGGAAAGTAACGGTAATCTAATTACCGTTTTTGCAATAGTAATCCCTTACTTTACTCGTTACTTGAAAAAAGTAATCGGATGCCCATCTCTGATTGGCACTACTTTCTCATGCCGTGTCTACAGGATCAAACTCTTGGGAACACTTTTATACGCTTCTAGAAAGCAAACAGTTTTGGTTCCTTCCACTAATGAAAAACAAGTCAGTGGGTCACTTTGATAAAGGGGAGGAGTTCCAGCTGCACACATGGATGTGGTCAGAAGTGAACTTCCACAGTGGAGTCTAAAAACTGCTGCAGCGCTGGATGTGATCCAGCCTCGAGCTGCTCACCCTTCAGTTGCCTCATTTCTGTTACTCATAGTTTGCAATCCCATATTTTCTCGTTTGTAGCTCGGATATTCCAGCGTGCGCTGAGGTGGACTGGGTCCTTGTTCCTGCCATCACTTCTGTAAATGTATTGCTTTGTGTCGTGTTTGTTTTGCCGGACTGACCACTCGTGCTCATTTTTTAAATTATCTCTGGTGATTTGCATTTGGGTCCTCTCCTCTGTGAACTCTCACATCAGATTTTTTATTATAAACATGCAAACACCTGCACACAAAGAGCTGCTTTTGGACTACCTCGGGAACCTTC